TTCATATTACATGAGTATGTAATATGCTCTTGTGGAGTCCATAGAGAGCTTCTGTATGCTTAGCAGCTGGTGTCTGTAGACGTAGGTGATACTAATGGCTAATTTCTGCCTGAGTAAGCAGACCTAGGAGAGCTGCTAATATCCAGGAATGCACTCATACTGGTATATTTGAGTAGGCACAAGTCACAAATTTATGTGACAACTACTTAGACATGTGACTGCTTTTGGTGTCTTTTGTAAAATAATTTATTTGCCCAAAGAAGTAAAAATTAAATAAAAAAGAAACTAAAACTAAAGGAAAACATGGCACATGTGCATGAAATATAATTACACTAGAGAGGATTTACATTTTGAACAACCAATGCAAAGTTGACTATAAGAGGTCATACTGATCAGCCTTTTTGTTTCTTCTGTAAAGAGCCAGTTCAAATGCTGAAGATCAACATATTTTTTCAATGTGCATTTTGGCATTTGGGGTTATAGTTTCTTTCCTTCATCACCTCCTTTCTTATGCTCCATTGCAATTCTAATAAACTGAAAGGACCTCAGAGATCAGCAAATTTGGAATCTTCAGTGAGAAGATTCAACATTACATACATATTTTAAATTTTTAATTCTGTTTTCAGTATAAATGCCTTATCTCTACTTCTATATTTACCCCTATATTTATTTGTGATTATTATTGTTATTATTATACTTTATTCATTAAACATGAAACTCAGCCAACTGAACATTCAAAAATGTATTACAAATACCATTGACTGGTGTTAATGGTTGATACGGTTTGCTGCCAGCGTCTGAGGTATCAACCAAGTACCTTCTTAAAATATAAGATGCTCCGAGTAGCACAGTTTTTTGCAGTTCCGCTGGTGTTATTGCATGAAGCTGCAATTTGTTGATGTATCTTGTAAAATTCTTGGACATAGTGCCAAGTGCCCCGATGACAATGGGTATCACTGTTACATGCTTCATCCATAGCCGTGTAGTTTCAATGGCCAGGTCGTAATATTTCATTATTTTTTCTAGTTATTTTTCTTCGACTCTGGCATCTCCTGGAACAGCGATATCAATAAACTGTACACTTCGGCCCTCTACAACTGTGATATCTGACGTGTTGTGCTCCAAATAGCAATCTGTTTTTATTTGAAAGTCCCACAAGATCTTCATTTTCTCATTTTCCATAACCTTTTTCACTTTATGCTCCCATGACTTTCTGGATACAGGCAAATCATATTTTTTACATAATGACCAGTGGATTAATTTAGCAACTCAGTCATGTCTAGCTTTGTAATCAGTTTCTGCAATTTTGCTGCATTCAAATATTAAATGTGAAACAGTTTTGACTTTGTTACTGGAAAGTCAGCAGTTTGGGTTGTCAGTGGATTTTTGTATCTTCGCTTTCATGGCATTAGTTTGTAGTGCTTGTTCTTGAGCAGCCAGTATTAAACCTTCCATTTCTTTCTTGATAATTCCCATCTTAAGCCATGTCAATGTTAAGCTGTCGTCACATTTTCCTTCAATGTTTTTCAAGTGCTGTCCATCATCATTGTCGTTGTTGTTGTTGTTGTTGTTGTTGTTGTTATTTGGTTAATCTTTGGTGAAATTCACAGCCTTTGGGGCTGGTTAGTAGCTCAACAGTTCGAGTCCTAACCAAGGACCTAGGAACGTTAAGGTGACATCAGAGGATATAAGTTGTTCCAAGTTTTTTGTAGAATCAGAATGTTCAGTCAGGTAAATTTAGAATTTCCAAATAGTGATGTAGCCCTTTAGGTATTGCTCCAAGGGTTCCAATTACAATTGGGACAACACATGATTTCTTTTTCCACAGTGGCTCAACTTCAATTTGCAAGTCCCGGTACTTTATGATTTTTTCATGCTGTTTATCTTCAATTCGTGCATCTCCAGGTATTGCAATGTCAATGAACCATACTTCTTTCTTTTCAACTATTGTTATGTCAGGTGTGTTGTGGGCCAAGTGCCCACATGGCACTTGTGCAAAGCATGATTCATTGTCATAAGCTTCCTTGTTTTTCTGTCCAAATTGTCCAACTCCATTATTATTAATTGCCTTCAAGTTATTATTGATTCCTGGTGAGTACCTGGAAATCTCTGCAGTTTTCTTGGCAAGATTTCAGCATCTGTGATGATGTCTGGGCAGGTGGGCAGAGTCTCCTGCTACCGCCACTACCGGTTCACCCGAACTGTGGTGAACTGGCAGAATACCACCTCTGCATCACAGGATGTAAGCTGTTCCAAGTAAAACTACCTTTCGCAATTAACTGATGGTAATTTTTTCACTGCTGATAATGTTCAAATGGTGCTCCATATGTTTTGGGGTTGCACCCAAGGCATCCATAACTTTTGGCACTATCTTTGTTTACTTTTTCCAAGGTCATTCCATTTTCAGGTCTTTATATTTTTGTGATTTACCCCAGTTTTCTCTTTTTTCTGCTTTCTCCAGGTATCCCAATGTCCACTGCCCAACTTTTTTGTCTTGCTTATTAACAATTGTTAAGGCTGAGGTGTTGTGGAGAGATTATTAGTACTACAGTAATTTTGACAGCTAAAGTCAGTGATACAAATGAAATCATGGATTTGTAATGTGGCAGTGATGTGATGAAATCACTAAATAAAATGATTTTGGGAGATCTCAAGCACTGTAAACATAATGTTTGAGAACTGTGTATGATTTGGTAGACTGGCAACTTCTGTTTCTGAGCTCACAGGCAAAAAAAAAGGGTTGAATCCTCATGTTTGTTTATTATTGTCCGTCCTTTGATGTAGATCACACTCAAACATCAAAGTCAAGAAGACTGAAACTACCTTTGCAACAGTGGTGAATATCTGTAGTTTGGGTGTAGGATAAGGGTGAAGGTTCATTCTTTGACTTTGTGGGTTGGTTTCCAACTGTTTCATTGCCAGGCTATGTAACATCTCCAGTGGACTTTAAGGAATGTCAGTGTCAGTGTTTGTCTGTGGATCTATCAAGTGAAGGTCTTGTGATGGGTCAGCTTTGAGTCATCAGTGAGTCTTGTGGTGAGTTTTGTGATGGGTCTTGTGATAAGGAGAATACATCAGGTCAGGGTCATTGGGAGGTGCTACAGTGGGGGTGTTGCGTAGGTTGGTCGAGGATCGGTACTGTCTCTGGTTGGCCATGTGGTTGATTTGGATTCTGGGGGATTTGTAGACTGTCTGTAGGTCAATGTGTCTGTTGATGGAATTGCTTGTGCAGTGCCAGGCTTTGATGAACTCATGAGTGTGGCAGGTGGTAGTGTGACCAGTGATTTTTGTGTTGCTGCAATCGAACTGGTCCTGTTTGGTGCCAGCGAAGGGTAAAGATTAAGTATTTGGCTTCATGGTGTTTGATTGCCAGCCGGTGTTTCTGGATCCTGGTTTTTCATGAAGTTATAGTAACAAAATCTTGCAACTTTGATATTTTTTTCTGCATTTCTTTCTATGCAGCACTTGACCAGATTACATCCTGTTTGCCAGCTTCTCCTAACAGATTAAATTTGGTTGTGTCCTGGCCTTTTTTCAGAGAATCATCCTGGTGACAGGCAGGCAAATGGCTAGCCAGCATCTCAAATCTTTTAGATGTAGTCTAATACTGGGCTGAAAGCAATAATCCTTTGTCTTTAACCCTTTGTCTCCACTACAGTCTCCACTCCAGACCTGATCTAAATCTAGCTACATTAATCTGCTAGTATTCAAAGGAACAAAAAAAATGGTTGATATAAAGGAAGTTTTTTACAGTACAAATAGCAAATATGAGAAAGGGTTAAACTCATTGTTCCCTACATCAAAACCTCATGCCATTAGTTTTTAAAACTCATTCAGGTATTGCATTTGATTTGGTCCTAGGATTTTGGAAGGATTTTGAGATTCATTGCACACTGCCTCGCTACTGTGATAATGAAAATTCCGCAAATATGCTTTTCCAGTTTTTTTTTTGTTTTGTTTCATCTTTTCTTTTGATAAGAGTTTTTCTTCCCTTCAAAGTGCTCACTGTATTGTCCAAATGCTGATATCCCTATGTATCCATTCTTTGATTTCCATTATAGTCTCTATTCTTCTTTGAAGGATGATCCCCATAAGAACTGTGGGTTCTTCTTCTGAATAACTGAATATAGGCATCATAACTGGAAGAGCTGCTTCATTTTGCATCCTTCACCTTCTCTTACAATAAAGTGGTGACTTAAAAGAATCAAACTGTTTGTCTACTGGATATAACTTTTTTTTTCTTTAATAATCCCAATACAACTGTTGGTGAGATTAAAAAAGAAAGATAAAGTCATGCAATGGTTCATGAAGGAAATCTGGCCATCAATTTGAGTAGTGACTTTAAATTTCAGGTATCGTTTACATAAATTGCAGATAAAATTCCAAGCATACTTAGCAGGCTTTAGCACTTCCACATCATTGGATAGCAACATAGCAATTCTTAATATATTCACAACTATAGACAATAAACTTCACTGAAAATGTTAAATTTGCTATGTCCCAAAGATGATGCATTAGTTGGTATTTTCATATATATATATTCATGGCAGGGCAATAGCACCTTTGACAGTCACATGATCAGGAACAAGTCAAAAGATGAAATATAGGAGTGGAAAAAATTATATATAACACAGTTCTGTTTATTGTTGAAGTTTTTGTATCTCCTAGGGAGAGCGGGAAAGCATATAGAGAAAGCATAGAGAAACATAGATATCATGAATTTTCAAAGCATGCAAACATTCAAATATTGTATCCAATGCTCTCTGTTTATGCAGAAAAGGTTTATCATTGCCCGCTGCATTTCTCTGCAGTTTTCTATAGTTCTGGAACCCCTCCAAATGTCTTCCAGTCTGCAGTAGAAGCTTAGGGACTGCAGTGGAGGGATTTGGCTATTGCACTCGGTACAACATATGCTCACACACCAGTCTATCACAGCCTTCAAGTTTGTAGCCAGTTCCATGCTGTAATTGTTAAAACATTGTTTGTCTCTGTTTCACTAGAACGATTATAGGAAGTTATCTATGCAATGCAAAGACTTTGTGGTGGGCGTCCTGGATCTCTGCAGAGACACAGAGGAAGTGGAGGCTATTCTGAATGGTGATGCGAGTGTAGAAGTATGGCCTGAACATCCCCGTCCAAGTTTGAGCAGAATCAAGCTATCCATTAAATATGAAGTCAAAAAAGTGAGTATTCTCTTGCCTGTTTCCTTGTCGCATGTTGAAAGTCAAATTAAAAATTGGATTTCTGCATGGATTGCCTGCTCAAAGGATTGTGTGTAGGCAAAACACATAGAGCTTAAAGTCATGGCAGAGAGTAAGGGTGAAAGATGGTAGCAATCGCAAGACAGGAGGAGATTGTGGGTTGTAGTGAAAGATGGTGACGCTTAACTGTGGAACCTACTTTGAAAATAGTTCAATGACTCACATCCTAAAGGACTGAATCAGCATGACATTTTAGGGATAGATGCATTTTGCAAAGTTTCTCTCCACTTTTCTTGAAATAAGGCTTACTTGAGTAGTTGGATAAGGCAGGAAAGGACCTATAGATAAATCTGTGAGGCATTTTTATCTAACTCCTGGTGATTCTTGTGAGTTTCTATTAAGCTCCAGTAATCCATTCAACTTAGACTGAAAAGAAAACAGTACTGAGCTGTAAAATAGAGTTTACTGTGTGGTGAAAAATCTTGATAGTATTCCAATACAGTATGACTTTACATTCACTGTGAAAAATATTTTTCCCATTTGCAATGTTAAAGACCTAAAGGAAAACAGCATATATTAAAAAGTTACTTAAATTGGAAGTAATGCTAATCAGTTGCCTACAACCTGCAATCTCCAAATATATTTGACTATTAATTGTTGAGGATAATAAAAGTGGTAATCAAACTCATTTGGAAGTTGCCAGGGTGGGTTCACATTGCCCAGAGGGTTTTTTTTTTAAAGACCAACTTTGTTTATTATGGAAGTTTATGTTATACTTTCTTCTTTGATGATATTTAGGATCTGGAAGAGAAAGGATGTTTTTGGTATTTTTATATTACAGTATGTCTTTCTTTTATTTTCTGCCATCACACATCAACAAATATACCTCTATATAAAGGAAGGATGCAATCTTTGTCTATGCCATCTCATAAATAAGTCTCTGGGGCCCAGTGCAGCACAAAAGCAGTGGATCTTGATTAAAATAGGCAGGCTTAGAATAGCGCTTCAGAGACTCAAACAGAAAACTGTAACATCATCATTGAAAAAAATTCATTAGAATTGTTGCACAGGAAAGCTCTAGAGTCCTCTCCCACTTCATCCACTGTGGCCAAAGAAGCAAGCAATCATTGTCTTTCTCATTGCTGATAAATTTTGGCCAAATCCATATCTCCCAGATTAATGTGCAAATGTATCTATACCAAGTGTTTGCCTTTTCATTTCCAGAATATTCTGATGCCCCTTTCTTCTAAAAAATAAATAAGTAAATGATTTTTGAACTGTGGCTTTTAAGAGGAAAAAAATATTTTAAAATGTATAATTAATTGGGGATTTTACTAGTGAAGTCTTTAGAACAGTGGTTCCCAAAGTGGTCAGTACAGCCCCCTGGGGCGGTGGGATTGCTTAGGGGGGTGCTAAGAGGCAGGGGGCACTAAGAGGCAGGGGGGCACTAAGAGGCAAGGGGGGTGGCACTGGCAGAGGAGTGCTAGTGGTGGCCCCTTCTAGCAAGCCATTTAGAACCAGTTCGCTCACTCACCCCCGCCCATCTGGAAGCTGCTCGATCGCTCGCTCCCCCCGCCCATCCGCACTATGCTAGCCTGGCCCACCGCTCACTGATTGGCTGGCTCACCAATCGACCTGCCCACCTCTAAGAGCCCTATCTAAACCCATTTACCTTTTTTTTCTGCTTGGCTTTCTATAGATAAGGCTCTTAGAGGTGGGCAGGGCGATTGGTGAACCAGCCAATCAGTGAGTGGTGGGCAGGGCTAGCATAGTGCAGGCAGGCGGGGGGAGCAAGTGATCAAAGGGAGGCCCCTTCACTTCCCTTCACTTCCACTTTGTCTTGATGAGGTCGCCGCAGCTGCCAGGCACGGAGAGACAGAAGTAGCCAAAGCGGCGGGGAAGCCCGGGCGGGTGAGCGAGCGATCTGCCTGATCCTCCATCGCTCGCCTGCCTGGGCCACTCTGGCTACCTCCGTCTGTCTGCACCCGGCAGCTGCAGCAACCTCATCAAGACAAAGTGTGAGCGAAGGGAGGCGAAGGGGCCTCAGTGCCCGCCTGATCCTCCTTCACTTGCTCGCTATTTTGCCTACAAAGGTTTTTAAATTGGATTTTGAATAAATGTGCAATTAATTGTTACAATTTTGAATTTTACTGTTACTATCTTCCTTCTGTTGTGCAAACCGCCCAGTCACATGACTCCCACAGACATGCCCCCACCAAGCCACATCCACAGAACCGGTCATAAAAACATTGGAATTCCACCACTGGGTGGGAGGCACTGGGGATCAGTTTGTAGCACCAAGGGGGCGGTGGACTGAAAAAGTTTGGGAACCACTGCTTTAGAAGGGAAACAAATGAATGCAGAAATAATCCTAAATGGTTTTATGGCTAAATAGAAGAGCTGGGCTGAAAAAGCCTCTTTGGTCTCTAAAAAAAACTGCTGGAGATTATGAATGGAATGGTGATGCTTATGGGAGCTAGGTATCATCAGCTATTATAAGTCCTAATCATTAGCTTTAACGTGGCTTCTTTATGTGACAAAATTATGGACTAGAAACCAATAACAACATTCTTAACTTTTAGTCCATAAACCTTTGCTTTTGTTCATAAACTGTTGGAAATGTAAGTCATTTTCTAATTTAAGTCAAGGTCTGGCAAATAATTTCCTATGCTGGAAAACGATGATAGAAAAGGAAAATAAAGATGACAATGGTAATATTCAACAATGGTCGAACTCAATGTGGTTTTCCACATCATAGACAATTGTAATGGGACTTTAGGTTACCTATTGTGTGTAATCTATTGTGGCTCATAAACCATGGTTTGGGCTTAGGGTGATATCTAAAGCACTGTAGGTATTTTTAACAGGTTATTGTTAAAATAATTGTGACTTAGCATGATGTGTAAAACCATGAGCAATTAACAAAACAGGCTATGGCCATTTTTAAAGCAAAAACAGGTGCCCTATAGTCAGAGTTAGGGATAGAGCTCAGGGGAGAATATGAGAGCCTCAGTGGCACAGTGGTTAGAATGCAGGCTACTTCTGCTGACTGCTGGCTGACTGCAATTTGACAGTTTGAATGTCATCAGGCTCAAGGTTGATTCATCCTTCCAAGGTGGGTAAAATGAGAACCCAGATTGTTGGGGAGAATATGCTGACTCTGTAAACCACTTAGAGAGGGCTGTAACAGATTGTGAAGTGGTATATAAGTCTAAGTGCTACTGCTATTTATATTTAGTCCTTTGCTTGGCAAGAAATAGCATTTGGAAGTGACTTGAACAAGAAACCAGCTTGGAGACTAAAAACATACACTTTTCTCCTACTGTAACTACATCATGATCTCAAACCTCACAATATGGAACTTCTTTTTCTGAAAAAACAATAGGGCTACCAAAGCCAACAGAAAATTGCATTTTTATGTTGTTACAAAAGGTTACCTGGATTTATGCAACCAAAATCTGATAGTTCTAAACCAGGGGTGTCAAACGTGCGGAATCATGGCAGCATCATTTGACGTATCATGACTTTTTTCCCCTTTCGCTGAACCGGGCATGGGTATGGTTAGATCCGGCCTGCGGGCTGTGAGTTTGACAGCCCTGCTCTAAACAAAGTGCATGGTGCTGGGCATATTTCTTAAAGTTTGGTGGTCAGCCAGTTAGTGATTAACTATTGTTCATGATGGGAAATCTCCGTATAAATAGAATCCTGCATTTTTCACCAAGCCAAGTATCTTCAGTGGACTGTGGAGTTGAGGGGAAGGTTGCAACTTATCCTTTACCATACAAGGGCCTGCAACAGCTGATAGACCTGTGGGTTCCAATAGAGCAAACTGAATCCAAGAAGGGGAGGCTGCCAATTGAAATAACTAAACAGAGGAAAATAATAAATTGATTGCTTCAAAGTAGGAAAAGCTTGTCAGAGCACTTTAAACAGTTTAATCATGGATACATGATTTGCAAATTGGTCACTTCTTTTTCTGAGCCTGTTTTCTTTCTTCTGATTAATTATTTGTACAATATACTATGATTATGGATATTGGTTTACTGGAAGCGAACTTGGAAAGTGCTCCCAATTTTATAGTCAACAGCTGTTCCCTCCTTTCCTTCTAACTCTCCCCACCTGCTTATTGCTGCCTTAGCAGCTGTGCCCAGACTTTCTCTTCCAATTAGCAAAGCAATTCATTCCAACTCTTACACTGCAAGCTCCTTCATTTTAATTATCCTTTGGAGACCCTGGATAGATCCAACGGCAATGTTTTAAAATAGGCCAGGCAGGAGAATTATATTCCTGGTTTCTAACAGTATTTATTTCACTAACATCCCAGTGTATTTTTTTTTTTTGCAAAAAGAATTGTAGCTCAGCAATCAAGCCCCTGCTTTAAATACCAAACTTTCCTTTAGCATTTCCAATTAAAGGAACTGAAGTGAAGTATTTGTGGTCCTCCTGGGTCAGCTTCTTTTTAAAGGAAGTATGGTAGCTTGCAGTTTCAGAGCTTCTGGTGGCTCATAAATCCTTATGTTATGTCCACCAGGCTCCTTTCAGAATACTGAATGCAGAGTCAGTCCTCATGTGCTATTCCAATCTGCTACCAAAATTATGGGTTGCCTTTGACTTATGACTGCAACTGAGCCTGGAATTACAGTTATAAATCATTGTGATTGTAAATCAAGGCATCACATGACCAGATCCAATTTTTCAACATTAGTATCGGAAGTCATTAAGCAAACACTGCAGTCATTAAATGAATTAATTTTCCCCGATGGGTGTTTTTTGTTTGAAACTGGATGTGAATGCCAAAAAACAGCAAAAAGTGTTGCAAATTGCAGTTGTGTGACTGTGGGACATTGCAAATGAGGCCAAGCCTCCAAAATATAACCATGTGACCATGCAGTGTATGTGAAAATGGGTCATAATCAGGGGTAAAATTCAACAGGTTCTGAAGAACCAGTAGCAGAGATTTTGAGTAGTTCAGAGAAGTCACA